TCAGCCACAGCTTATTCAGGCGTAAAAAAACAGTTTTCGTAGGCAATAAATAACTAAATTTCGCTTCTTGGCTAGCCTATTTTTTAAAACTAAATCCTGCAGTAAAAGTATGTTTGTCGGATTTCAGAGAATGGTTGGATGCCAGTGTTTGAACGGGAGCATTACCTGCTTAATAATTATTCTTATTTGTCTCTGTAACAATAGTACATTCAGTTGGGACTTAAAAGTCTACCTGATTGTTTCTTCCAAGAATAAGATGTCAAATAAGGAACAAGATATCAAGGTTTGTTTGCAAGCATAATTGACATCGTCGCAGTTCTAAAAAATGGCAGATTGCCAGTCCAATGTAATTTCTGGGAACTCTCGAAAGAAGCTCTTACACATTTAAAATGCCGGTTGTTCAGGTAAAAATGATGCTATGAATATCAGCAATAATTTTCAAAATAAATTCAGATCCTTATTGGTTACATTTCACAACAATTGAAACTACATCCCCTGAATAACCAGCTGAGCGGCGACTCGGCTAGGCTAGCCTATTGATCTGGTGCGCTGATGGCTAAACGATTGCCTCCGGCGTGGTCGGATACTCTCAGCTCTCTGCCAAGTGGCCCGGTTATGCTCGCACGATGGATGTCGTTGGCCCCCCTCCCCCGGCCATTACCCCACCACCAGCCCGGCCTCTGTCTCCCCCTTGCCTGCAGAGGACGCAGTTCTGGTTGCCGCCTCGGTGGAACCAGCTTCGAAGGATTATTAGTCAACATTCAATGCCCAAACTGGAGGGTGGAGATCGATTGTCTGACCCACCAATATCTTTTATAAATTATAATCCATTTTGTTTCAGCCCGCAACTGGGAAGAGAGGGCAAGTCTAGACCCAGGGCACTGGGCGGATTTAATCCTGTGGTACATTGAATTTTCTGTCAAAATAATCACTGGTAATGCCGGGCTTGTGGCAATGTAAGACGGCGAAATCATTGTGTCGTTCGCAAACAAGCCATCCCTAGCGTTGAATCCAACCCCTCAGCCACGAGCAAAACTATACTAGGATTTGCTCGAAATAATCATCGGTAAACTTTTAAAATAATCTTGAAATCGCACTTATTATCAAGCGAAAATATGAGGTCAGGCACAGTCTTTGTTTATTTGGATTTCGAGTTTAATCTCGCGTTTTTTAATAGTTCGCTCCTGTATTCAACCGTCAAAACGCCAACTTCTTGTCCAATATCCTTGCCTCGGACAAACAATTTTGCGGAAGTGTTCGCAACGAATGACACCACTGCTCCTAACTTCACATCCAGACGCATGGTCTCCCTGATAACCAGAGTGCTCAGAGGCCGCCTGTCACATTTCCGGACAAACCCAGCTCCAGTCCACATCAAAGCGGCCAGCCGGTCAACACGAATCACCCCTCAGCGCCATCAGACGCCGATCTACGCCGACAGTCGGCCGCTCGGTCCCGCACAGAATCACTCCACCAGCTGACCCCACATTCTCCGCGGCAGCGCCTCGCCAACCCTTGACGCCGCCGCAGCATACAATAACATATCAACGAGGCCGGCTCTGGTGGCGTCTCGGAAGGTAGCCTGCCGGTGGTTATGCCACACAGCCAATAAGGCACGGGTCGGCGGCGCCGCGGGCCGCCGGAGGCTTCTCCCCCTCCCCCCCCCGCGTGTGACGGTTATTGGTAGCCGGTGTCGCAATACACGGTTTACGGCCTGTTGGCGTGGCTGCTGCAGCCAGTCTCCCACACAGGCGAACCACGATAGAAAGGACCACGATAGAAAGTGTGGTCCGCAGCTGATCCCAGCCGGGACCACGGTAGTGAGTTTTTGCAGCCGGTCCTACACAGGCGGGACCAACACAGAAAGTGTGGTCCGCAGCTGGTCCATACAGGCAGAGCCACCGTCGTGAGTTCGGTCCGCTGCTTGTCCCACCCGGGACCACAGTCGTGAGTTTTCGCAGGTGATCCACTCAAGCGGAGCCAACACAGAGAATGAGCCGATCTCGTTGAGACTGCCAATGGTCATGCCGAGACCGGGCAAACGGAATCAAATTAACTGACGCAATGCAGAGTGGGTAAACAGCGACATGTACCGAGCTGGTCTCACCAAGACCATGATCGGACGGTCCAGTCCAATGCACCATAGTCTCGCCTGGTCCCCGTCACAATTCATTAGACCAAACTGATGATGTGGTTTGCAGTTACTTCTTCCCATTCACCCAGTAATGTCGATAAAATCAATGCCAAAAACAGGTGACGTTCTTGAACTAAGGAGCAGAGGAATGCCACACTATGTATACCGCCAGAAGTGGTCTTCCCTCAGCAGTGTGCCTCCAGTGAACATACAAAGGGCTTCAGTTAAATAAAGTTTACTGGCGCTCCGACCACGAGTTTACTTACAACATACGAAGGTCACCTATAGCGTGAACTGCGGGAGGCTTGGTTGTCGGATCCCGGGTTTTCCTCGGTCGCTGGAACGGTGTCACTTTTTTGATGAGATTCCTGGGGGTTTCCTGTTTTCCTGGTTTTCCTGGAGTGCTGTAATAGTGGCACTTTGCGATGGGATTCGATCCATTGAAGATATTTTCCGTGGAGCAGGGGAGGGACCCACGGGCCTGTGATAATTTCCCGCTTCGCCCTGGGGTCTGTTTACGTGTCAGACGTCCTGACTGAAGTGGTGCACGATGAAAGGAATAATTCGCAGCTGGGTGCAGTGGCGGCGGAACACATTCAATTAAGGCGGGGGGGGGGGGGGGCACTGCCGACCTTTGGGCCCATTCTTTCCATGCAACGCCCATAGAGCGAATGTTAAAATGCCAAAATTAAAGGGGGGCATGGTGCCCCAGTGCCCCCCCCCGTCCCGCCGCCTATGGCTGGGTGGTAAGATGACTCGTGGAAAACACCTGCATCCTAGCACTGTGATTTGTGGTTACCGTCTCGCGTCTCCCTTGGGAAGGGGCCGGCCAAGTGTTAGTGAATAAGACGAGAGCCTGAAGGAAGCGTTGGACGTTGTTCGTCCGTGCATTGCTTATGTATTCTCTGCCGCACAGGCAGGTGCGCCATTGACCTATGCCGTGTGGTTTCATCAACAACATTTCGTTGACACAAAGTGAAATTGTCACATCACAGAAGCTGCAAAGTCTGCACTTGCACTCTGCATCTGCGCCTGGGAAAATAATAAACTCGCAACAGCCAGATATAGCATACGCTTCTGTCCTCTGCAACTGCTCCTGGGAAAATAATAAATTCGCAACATGCTCGCAACAGCCAGATATAGCATACGCTTTTGTCCTCATCTGTATCAGGCAGTTACTTTATGCATACCACAGGTTTCCGCTGTAAAGATCCAAACCAAATTTGCGTTAGCATATATTTGCATGAATTTGAGCGTGACATCGCCAGCCCTGAGGCATCCTTAAGTGCATTGGGATGTTTACCACTGTGCCTCTGAAAAGCTGCTCCCCGGGGGAGGAGCAGCACATGCGCCAATTTGCGGTTAAATGCAACTGAAAAATTCAACAAGGGAGGTTTGAAAAGGAACGGCTTCTTCATTTCCAGATCAGTATACGTTGGTCAAGTTCCTTAGCCTATTATTTTCGTTTTTGATTGCAGTTCGGCAGCATTTTTACCTTGCATTAAACACTCTTTATTTTTCTTTGCATCACATTTAAATCAACTTTGATACGCATATAATCTGTCAAAAAAATGCAAAAGAAACAAGAAACAAGATTACTACTAGTAATATAATTATTAATTAACTACTAAAATTATGAATTAATAATTAACTACTAGTAACTACTAGTAATTTAGTTAGTAGTAATAAGTAAATTCAAAATGAAAAAGAAACGCTCATGTTTCCAATAGCTTCGCTGTAAGGGTGATGTAGATTTGTAAACACGGGATGTCGTCAATAGACAAAATGGACATCGTCGAACCTATAACCTCAAGAAGCTGAACGACCGTTTACCCGTTACCGTATGCATACAATATTACCGCCCCACCTGAGAATAATATAGTCTTATGATAATCGCTTGCCATACAGAAATAAAGCCAAAACCCGCTTGGAACATTTTTTACTGCTAAAAAGCTCATGCAGTCTCGTAGATATGCGATAGGAGCTGCTAAACTTTAAGAACACTCAACATTTTATGTGAATTTACTGTGCACCAAACATGGACTATTATGGCCAAACTTGCACCATCTGAAAACTAACTTCGGGATCTGGGCATAACTTAGCTGTGAAGAGTTGAACGACTTCAGACATAACGAGTGTGAAATGGTACCTTGTTAGTTACCTTCCAGAGTATGTGCGCTCTAAGACTTCACTGCAGTGCGTAGGTAGGGGATGGAACTAATGGGGAACTTCGCTGAGAGGCGTTTTAGCTCATCCTGAAAGGAGTGCATCCAGCAACTAATTCAATTAAGTCAGCTTCGAATAAACAGGCCACCTGCTATTCAGCTAGGTACACATAATCAAGCCAGGGACGAGAGCTTTCAATGGAGAAACAATAGCCTTTGTTTTGGCTCTAGGTTACTGCATCAAAATCAAACAACTAACTATCCTGTAGGCTGTAGGTATAAGGGCACATAAATTTCAGCTCAACCTCCGTAATGATGTTTTTTGTGTGAATAAAATCAACATTCAACATGTAAGCATTCAGTATTCACCACAAAATTGATATAATCGGGCAGACAGCAACCACTCTAGAAGTCTGGATTTACAAACTAATCACAATAAGTCGCGTGTCTAGTCACACTGGGGCGCTAGAACATCGCTCCATGCCAAGAAAGCTGGCCTGGCCTATGAAAGGACAAGTGCAGTGCGAAGAGAAAAACAACGTAACAACTTTTCATCGACAACTACTTAAATTGCTGCAAATTTTAGACAAAATAACAGTGTTCATATTTTCTCATAAATAAATCTTATTGCCTGCAACACCTTGACGAGGCAGTCAGCTAGTGCTGACGTCATTAGGGGGCCCACCACGCGGCCGGCTCACCTGGGTGGTCCGCTCCTTGCACTTGTCGGAGCCGGCGAATATGTTGACGTCGGAGCTGTTGCGCCTCTGCGGACACTGGTCGATGTCGACGCGACGCAGGTCGATGTCGATGCCGCTCGTGCCTCTGCAACAAAGCAGACCGCCTCCTCTCAAAGCCCACTCGGCGCAGAAAGGCCCGCCGCCGGCCCAAATCCCACCCTCGAGGGCCGTTCTGACGACCACCAGTCTGAGAGCTCACTGCAGTTGTATGGCGAGTTGAAAATCGTGGCCCTCGCATGTAAAAATAGCCAGTTGATGGCCTGATTTTGGATGCATTGATGCGTGAATTTGAGCACACCACTACCTGATTGAGTGCTTTGAAGCCGTGGAAAGCTATTGATATTGCCGTAAATATGTGAGCTGGGGCATTCCACGATAGATCGTACCAGGCCCGTCACCCTCATCTCTCAGATTTTAATGAAAATCGGTCCTAGGGGTAATCATAGGCCCCAAAGACGCCTGGCAAAATATCAGACTTCTCAGATCAAAACTTTTTGAGTTATATTGCATTACATTTTTTTAACTTCGGTATGTAACGGTGAGTTTGATGGCCTATAACTCAAGAACGGGTTAAGCAACCAACAAAAAGTAAACAACACTAAGCTTGCGATGAATCAAAAATTAATATTACTATTTAAAAATTCCAAAGAAAAAATTTCATTGTTGAGCAAAAACATTAATCTTTTTTCATTTGCCTCTAATGACTTTTGGGACCAAAATTTTTCACATTTTTATTTTTTCAAAATAAACTTCATGTCATTGCAAATCGACATGCAAAAAATTAGAAAGGTGTTCTTTCTATAAGTTCCTCATTTTCCCGCAAACAAAATGGGTTTCGGAGGGGATGATACGACCCCAGCACGCCGTTTCGCTTCTAATAGAGCTAGAGCCTCGCGGAAAAAACGAGCGTATGTGCCGTTACAAGTCGCAGCGATTGGTACCCAATTTTAAGGTCTCAGGTTAACCGGTAGCGTCTGAGGTCAGGTCACGTGACTGAAGTTACGGGCTCGGTTTTTAGTAAATAGCTTCGCAAAAAATGGCCGCAGAGCCGTGATTTTGGCATCATTGTGTTCGCCTAGCTCAGGTGCATCGAATGGTATACTTTTTGCTAGGGTGAGGTCAACTTAAGTAGTTGACCTCGGGTCAAGGTCAGGTCACACCCCTTAGGTCACGAAGCTGGGCAAAGGGTATCTTATGGCATATCATTCGATTCGGAAGGTCATCCCGAGTCCATTGGTGTCTTTCCCGACTCTCTAGCTCCATTTGATCGGGAGTTATTGACGAAAAACTCGTACGACCCTAGTGACGTCATAAATGACGTCACGCAAGGTTAACAATGCAAAAGTAAAGCATTGGACTTTGCAAGGAGTGCATGAAATCACGATACCATGTACGTGGGATAGTTTTAGATCATTCTCGGCGCCAAAATAACAGTTTTTTATATTTCTCCATTGATTTATAACAGTGATGTCACGTGACCGACCTGACCTCATGTAACCTTGAAAAATTCCCAGATATACAAGTTGTGAGACCTCTGGAGGACACCATGTATGCGTCCTGTAACTTTCATCTCGGACAGCTATGGTCATTGGCGTCCAAAACAATGTCAGAACCAAACAGCCTTTTTCACCCTCGCGCTTATAGGAAAGAGGGTTGGATGAACCCTCTTTTCACTTTTTTTTCAGATGACTCAGACTTAAATTGAAATTTCAGTAACCCGTGATGTCACTAGGCAGCTTTACCACGCCATTTGTAAGCTCCCCTCCCGAAATCACTATTCGAAACCGTTATCGTGACGTAAAATAAATACATTTATAGAAAGAACGCCTTCCTAATTTTTTGCATACTTCTGAACAATGAGCCAAATATTTTTTAAAGGAATAAAAATTCAAAAAAATTTGGTCCCAAAGTCCAAAAAATACAAATGAAAGAAAACTCAATATGTCATATATCAAAAATAGCGTATTTTTCGAAATTTCAAAAATACATATTAATTTCTGTTTCATTGCAAGTTCAATGTTATATAACATTTGGCATTTGAATAATCCGTCTTAGAGTTACAGCCCGCCAAACTTAGCGCTGCAAAGCAAAATCCAAAAAATGTTATACACCAAACTCAAAAAATACTTATCTGATAAGCCTGAAATTGTTGCAGGTGGATTCAGAGCCCCTGATTACCCCTGAGACCAATTCTCATCAAATTCCGACAGATGAGGGTGTCAAATTGGAAAAAAGTGGTACGATCTATCGTGGAATGCCCCAGCTGTTATTGTTTTTTTTCTCTCTCTACCTCCTTCTCTCTCTCTCTCTCTCTCTCTCTCTCTCTCTCTCTCTCTCTCTCTCTCTCTCTCTCTCTCTGTTTCTGTCTTTGTTTCTGTCTCTGTCTGTCTGTCTCTCTCTCTCTCTCCCCCTCTCTCTCTCTTCCCCTCTCTCTGAATGCAGGGAGATTTGTAGCCGGGTTCGTAGCAGGTTTTCGGTGTGCAGCTGGTGTCTCGGACTGTCATGCGCACTGCGCACGGCGTCACAATTACGTGGAGCATAGACAAAACCAGCTCGCTGTGAAACCTCCTATCATGATGCGTGTGCTGAAAACCTAAACCGCATTAACTTTTTTGCAAGACAGTGACGACTTCTAATCTACGCCAAGCAGTTTTGGCCTTTGGGGAATCAAATTACCATTTGACCATCAAATCCTCTGAGAGGCTGCCAGGCTTGGTGGATCGGGCACAGTTTCACTGAGCTTTGGATGTTTTTACGCCAACTATGAAAAGGGGCGGATCTACTGCCAAACCAAAACGCAGGTGGCTGTTTTCTCAGAGAGTTTGGTAGCCGATAGTGTGTAGTGCGGGTGCTGATGAACCACGCTCGGCCTTGGAGAGTCACCTGGCCGCCTCCTCAGCCTCAGACGGGGAGAGAACCTCTTCAACGAAAAGTCATCACTTGACTGCTCACTTTGTCACGTGGCCACGCACGCAGCAGCAAACACCCGCTCGCTGGCGCGTCTGTATTGTCACTGACCCCCGGCCCCGCCGCACGGCCCGACCGGCCGGTCGCCACGTCACGTGACCCGGGCGGCGGGGACAGCCAACCACAGCGCAGCACGACAACACGGGGCGACAACACGCGCTCCACACAGCCCTGACATTACCCCCCTTCCACGAAAATGTGCAACGGATACACACAATAAACAAGGCAGCGAACAAGTGAACATAAACCTTAACATACGGCAGCGCGGCAACGAACATGAACTACGGGCGGCGCACCTCATACGGCTTTGTATTCTGGACATGTGTTCGACGGACGCCCCTGTCGGTGATATATTCAACATGTCTGCGCCCGACCATCGATGACACTATGAACGGTCCGACCCACGGGTCCTCCATCTTGGAGGCCCTTGTAACATTTCTCACCCAAAGTCGGTCTCCTTCCCGGTAACAAACATCGCGTACATGATACCGCTTGTCAAATTGGCGCTGGTAACGACCAGACATCTCATCACGACGGTCCTGAGCCTGCCGAAGGGTCGCTGATAACAGACGCAGTTTTTCGTGCACAAAATCTGGCGAATACTTGTTTTTAGGCGCGCTAGCTAGCTGTGACAGCGGACTATTCGGATGGCGCAGGAAATACAGAAAAAACGGGCTGTATCCAGTAGTGTCACAAATCTCATTGTTCAAGGAATAGACCACTCCAGACAAGCGTGTCTCCCAGTCAGCGCCGCCCGACTCAGAGACAGCACGCAAGCGGCGTTTAATGTCCAGATGACGCCGCTCCACTGCACCCACCGCCTCGTGATGATACCCTACACTCACACGAATATTCACACCGAAATGTTGACACAAGACCTTGACATGACCGTGTTTCAGCAAGTTCGAACCCGCGTCACTCTCAATGCGCTCAGGGGGACCGAAGGTCAAAAAATGCTGTGTCAACGCCTCCACAACGTAATCTGCGGCGCCGGAGCGCAGTGGATAATAGGTCAAATATCCGGTAAATTTATCAACGCACGTTAAAATCATTGAGCATCCGTGAACATTCCCTCTCGGCATGGAAAGTATATCGATCACGAGTACTTCATTGGGGTATGAAGCTCGCTGGGGCAGCAGAGGCGAGCGATGGGCTCTCGTGTCCTTCCGTTGGCAACACCTCGTGCAGCTCTTTACGTAGTCGGTACAGTCGGACCGCAGGCCCGGATACCAGAGGTGCCGGCTAAGTAGCTCGTACACCTTCCCGGCGCCTCCATGCGACGCTCCGTTCGACGCCGCCGTGGACGTGCTGCGTCGTGAGGAGACGCTGGCGGAGGCTTTCGGCGAGGAGGAGCGCCGCGCGAGCGCTTGGGTTCAGTGGGCGGATCGCGAAGTGATGGGGGTCGGGCGCGGAGACATGATGTCTCCGACTCCGAGCGGTGATCGGAATCAGGAGGATTCCTCGCGCCGTGAACGTGACCGTCCGTCCGTGGAGCGGGCGCGCCGGAGCCCGAGTCCGGCTCGCGGCTCCTGGGGGCGGTCCCGCGCCGTCGCCGCTGGCGGGCGCTCGGGCGGCTCGCCGTATGCGCCCTCTCGTGGCGGCCCTCGGGGCTCGCCTCGCCGTGATGACTCGCCGTGGCCGACTCGTCGTGGTGACCCGCGGCGCGCGCCTCGCCGTGGCGACTCACCGTGGGCTGCTCGCCGTGGCGACTCGCGACCGGCGCCTCGCCGGGATGACGCGTCGCCTGACAGTGAAGAGGAGTGGCGGCCGGGGCGCCCCGGCGGGAGACGCGGCTCGCCGGCGCCGCCGGACCGCACACGGAGGGAGGTGCGCTGCTGGTCGTGCCGTGGCTATGGGCATCCCACCGCTGCCACCATGTCACGTGGCCACGCACGCAGCAGCAAACACCCGCTCGCTGGCGCGTCTGTATTGTCACTGACCCCCGGCCCCGCCGCACGGCCCGACCGGCCGGTCGCCACGTCACGTGACCCGGGCGGCGGGGACAGCCAACCACAGCGCAGCACGACAACACGGGGCGACAACACGCGCTCCACACAGCCCTGACACACTTTGACACATGGGCCTAATGTCGCTAGCAACCAGGAGAGAAAGAAGAAG